AAAGAAGCACAGCTCTAATGCAGGTGTGTGCGTTGTCGTCATCTATTTTGGAGTGATTGCAATGTATTCTAAATATAAACTTGTACTGTAGATCAGCGTCATTTCTGGAAAAACCATTCACCGCTTTATTACGAGTTTAAAAGAGCGTGAGCGTCATTAACGTGCCCAGACGCGACGCTTTGAATTTGCGCGTACAATGAATAACATCGCATCGGGAGCTGACTAAAAACGCTACAAAAGTAAAAGACAAGACGTTTGTATTCAAAGTTAAAAAGCCAACACACTACAACATTTTTAAATGTTTCAAATAAAGGATCTTGGGTCTATCTTCTAAATTCTGCTGATGATTATACCCTGTCTGACATCAGCCTACTTACGGCAATAATATCAGTTTAGAATTTTTTTTCTAATCAGTAGCGATCGTGTCTTTCTCTTCCACTTCATTTGTGTATAGCATATTTAAGCTAGCAATGCAATGCATAATATCATATTAGGCCTACTTATATTAATAATATGACAATATCTGCATTCTGCAGTCAATATCTATTAAATGGCAGGGGAAAATCCTGCCCATACCAGCTATGAAAAAAATGATAAAAGCATATATCACTGAAGTGGTATTCTGGAACTGTGAATAAATTGAATAAAACAGCAAAATAACAATAACAATAACATCTTCATTAAACAAAAAAGAGATTACCTTAGATGAAGTTTGATTAATATGTACATACAGTAGCCTACTGGTAAAATGTCTGGACCAATTACTATTTTTAATGTTTTTGAAAGAAGTTTTTTATTATGCTCTACAAGCCAGCATTTATTTGATCAAAAATACAAAAAAGAAAAAGAAAAAAAACAGGAATATTCAGCAAGGATGTGTTAAATATATAAAAAGTGATAGTGAAGACTTTTTTTAAACAACTTTTTAATAATAATAAAAAAAAAATCCTGAAAAAAGTATCACAGGTTATAAAATAAATATTAAGCACCATTTCTAACATTTGATAATAAATCAGAATATTATAAAGTTTTCTGAAGGATCACATTACACTAAATTCAGCTTTGCATCACATAAATATATTTTAAAGTAGTAAAATAGCAAAACTATTTAACAATATTTCACTATTATTTATCTGTATTTTCGATCAAATAAATCCAGGCTTGATTAGCATAAGAGACTTCTTTCAAAAACATTAAACATAGTAATGTGTCCAAACTTATGTACTGTGTAAGTAAAAACATTTAAAATTAAATGTTGTATAAATTAAAAGGTTAGGAATCATATTTGTTTCAAGAGTTTTTTATTGGGGGTGGGGGGCCTCCAACATGAATATTGCCTAGGGCCTCCAAATGTCTAGAACCGGCCCTGAGTATGGCTCTTCCTGTGAGCTTGAAGCACAAGGGCTGGGTGGAGGCCGATTGCAAGTCTATAGCAGAGGTGTGTGAGAGGTGGGAAAATATCCTTTCAACGCTTTGATGGTTCTCGATAGGCAACTTTATAAGAAAAAAAATACAAATAATAATAATATACATTAAATTCAATGTCATCGTTACTCACCCAAATGTTGTTTTTAAACTTCTTTTCGGTGGAAATAAGACATTGATTTATATATTTTTAAACGTATTGGTTTGGAACGACATGAGGGTGCAGATAAAACTGGCACACTTTGAATTGCGTGGTGAAAAATCCCTTGAGTTGATGATAAAACAGGGTTATGCAGATGATACCGTCTAGTCACTACATTATGATGCATAACTGTCATGATTTACAGGAAGAGTGGAGTGGTGGAATATATTTCTAGACTTGCTTTCTCATACTGCCACCTAGTGGTCAGTGGTCATATTACCTCTTGTATGAATGTTTTGATCTCATTGCCAAGTAAAGGATTGTTTTTGTTTTGTTTTGTCACAATTTAATTGAATGTAAAGTTCGTCTAGAGGTTCATATTCTTAAATAGAACCCTATTCAATAATGAAAATCATCACTAGTGAGAATGAGGCACATTACAGTGAAATGCAATACAACGCACATGTGAATTAGAAATCATTAAAAATATGATGTTAAATAAAGGTGTCAATATAAATATGAAACCTTCGAATAGTTAAATGCTGTTTTTAGCGTGTTTTAACCCTTTTAAGTAGGCTTAAAGAGGAAAAGTTACACATTTAATAACCATAGGCCTGCCTGCATAACTTGAGAGTGGAAGAGTGTTTTAGCATCATAGTCTTTTATCATCTCTAAAGGTATTTTTAAATCAAATGCTTAAACAGTGTTTTTGAATTCATTCATGCATAATTCAGTCCGAATCTTTATTCTGTTCTGGCCCTCTAAAGTTTTGCCCGTCCGTGTGTTTTGATGAGATAGTATTACAGGCTGTAATCCCTCTCTGTAGCCTTCGGGTCAGTGCAGGGGCTCGAACCCCCCAAGAGCACCACACTGCCAACAGCTGAACCAGCAGGGGCCAACCTGGCGTCTTCCCCTGAAAACCAGCACTGGACACATGTACACACCCACATACACTGTCTCCCACACACACATACACACGCACGAGAATATGCCAGCACAGGACACATACAAGCACGCACATTATCCTGTGAACGTGTGTGGTCTTAGGCCTAATGTTTTGTCATGGTGATAAATAATGATAATTACAAAGCTCCCCCAAAGAGCAGTGATGCGGAACACACACAGGGTCAGATATTGTGAATTACAGCAGATAAACATACGGTGTGATAAAAACAGTACTGGTAGGAGTTGATAGGAACTGTAAGCAGTTGGTGTCCTGTTATGTCTACCCATGATTGTCTATGAATGGAACATTGCAAAAAGGGATACGGGGTTAAATTATTTTCATTTAAAGGCACTATATAGTCACAAAAATGAAAACCACAGCCTATAAGTCACAAATGACCCCTAACAATATGATGTTATATTAGAAGGATGGATAGACGGATCTATCTATCTATCTATCTATCTATCTATCTAGATATAGATAGATAGATATTTACACAGACAGACAGACAGACAGATAGACAGACAGATAGATAATTATAAACAGACAGACAGACAGACAGACAGACAGATAGATAGATAGATAGATAGATAGATAGATAGATAGATAGATAGATAGATAGATAGATAGATAGATAGATAGATAGATAGATAGACAGACAGATAGATAATTATAAACAGACAGACAGACAGATAGATAGACAGACAGATAGATAATTATAAACAGACAGACAGACAGATAGATATAGACATAGGCCTACACTCTAAAAAAAAAAAGGTTTTTTAGAGTGTATAGGCCTCTACAACAACAACAATAACGCCTGCCATGAGTGTCACTTTAACTGTGGCTCATGATACTATACCATCCAAATTATAGCTAGTTAACAGCATATTATACAATCTATTCCATGCTGTCTTAAAATGAATTTATTACTTAATAATCTTAATTAGTTTATGCAGTAATTAATCTTAGCTACTGCACAAATAATAATACCACATCTAAATGAAAATACACCATTACAAATGTAACTTCTGTATTCAAAATCTTCAAAGTTTGTAAGCATTAACTGTAACATTACCAACATTTTTAAAAGTAAAAACACAACATATTTCTTAATATTAGCAACTGCATGTGGCATTTTACAGCTAAAATGTTGAAGTTTAGCTGTTTTAACTACTGTAATCATTAAAAATGTAGCAAGCTGAATATCACTTCCTAACATCATCCCTAGAAGTAACTTGCAAAGTAATTTCTGATTAATTCGGTTCGGGAGTAGTAGAGATAAAAGCCCGCCCGCACTGACAATTGATTGGTTGGGTCCTTACATGCGCTTCGTGAGGGACACGCGCACACTAGCACACACACGCAATCTCTCGCTCCCTCTCTCTCTGCCGTGCACGCTCTACGCATGCGCGCTCTTGCTCGCTCTAGATTCCAGGAGATTTTAACTAATTTGCGGACATCAGGGAGCCGCTATCAATATGCGGGAGACTTGGGATGTGTGTGGCGGCTGGTGGGCCGGCCCGCCGGCCGTCCTGGAGTACCGGCCGTTCTGTGATTCTCCAGATCACACAGATGGCCAGTCCGCCCCTGAGCACCACTACCATTTAAAGAACCTGTTAAGCACAATTTGGTTCTTCAGCGGTTCTTCAGTGGTTCTCTGGGGTGGTTAAGGTGCTCGATGGCACCTCTCAAGGTTCTACATAGCACCATTTGACAAAGATAAGTGCTATATGGCACTTAAAGTGGTTCCCCTATGATTACAAGCCAATGAACCACTTTTAGTGCTATTTAGCACCATTTTTGTTTATAGTGTACACCCAGACCGACAGACAGACAGACAGACAGATAGATACACTCTAAAAAAAATGGTTCTTCAGCGGTTCTTTGCGGTGGTCATGGTGCTATATAGCACCACTACCATTTAAAGAACCTGTTAAGCCCAATTTGGTTCTTCAGCGGTTCTTCAGTGGTTCTCTGGGGTGGTTAAGGTGCTCTATGGCACCTCTCAAGGTTCTACATAGCACCATTTGACAAAGATAAGTGCTATATGGCACTTAAAGTGGTTCCCCTATGATTACAAGCCAATGCACCACTTTTAGTGCTATTTAGCACCATTTTTGTTTAGAGTGTAGATAGATAGATAGATAGATAGATAGATAGATAGATAGATAGAGACAGATAGATAGATAGATAGATAGATAGATAGATAGATAGATAGATAGATAGATAGATAGATAGATAGATAGATAGATAGATAGATAGATAGATAGATAGATAGATAGATAGATAGATAGATAGATAGATAGATAGATAGATAGATAGATAGATAGATAGATAGACACCGTCACGTCCTTTTTCTGGCAAAAAAAAAAAAAAAAAAGCCTTTGAATTCGCGTTCGATGTGTACTAATAAAGCTAACAGCATTATTACAGCAGAGATCGACCTCTGACCGGCGCTGCTTCTCCACTGAGAGAGTCCTCCGCTCACTGACTGACTGACGCCAGCACAGCCAGCAACACCAGCAAAACACACGCTGCTCATCATGGAGAGAAAAGTGGCGAGAGAATTTCGGCATAAGGTGAGCTTTTAAACGGTTACTGTTTAACTTAAAATATGTGTTGACTGTTTTTATTAGCATTAGTTATTAGTGGTCTAGTTATTTAGTCGCTACCCACTGTGACCAGGAATGGCGGAGAAGCACACATAGCCTACTTCATTTTTACACTATCAAATATTTGTAAAGTATGTCAAATTAATATTCGCCTAGCTTCGGACAAGGAAAGTATTATTGTATCCACAGGAACCGTCGTTATTTGATCGGTAAAACTGTCCAAACCCAAGACCTAAAAGATGTCCACAACTATCACCCTACGCCAGTTTTTCCTGCTCTGTGATGTTTTAGACGTTTTTATTTTTTTTACAGTGAACATGTAAAACATTTTACTTGTTTAATAATTTCGACGTAATGACTTATTTCGTCCAATTTTATTGCTTTACGTAAGCCAAAGGTGCAGGTAAAGCAAGGTGTAATTTACAGGTAGAAAGGTAGGCTCCACAGTGACGTCAACCTATGTACGCGTTCTGATTGGCTGAGCAGGTGATAGGTGTTATATGTGTTTTAGAAATAGTTGTACAACAGGTATTATTTACATTTTTTCCTCCTAAATGTAAAGTTAAGACTTTTTAATATTTTAATTTGCTACGATTTAACTATTCTGATAGGCTACCAATTTACATGCTCATGCTTTTTTTTTAGACACCATACAAAGGCTTCCCCTGTGAAGTGTGTGTAAGTGTAGAAGTGTAGCATCTGTCGTGCGGTGAGGCACACAATGGACAGTTTTTCACAGCATTAGCTGAAGTGTCAGAAATGTGTGATCAGGCGGAAATGATTGCTGCATTTATTGTTCTGCCTGTGGACGGGGGTGGGGAAGCTGCACAAAATCTTTGCATTTAGTTTTGGTTTCTAATCTATGACAATCTGTTATATTGCTCCCTTCAAATTACTTTGCAAAACCTGTATAAGAAATCAAGCTGGAATCGGTTACAGACATCTGCTTTTTATGATGTTAAAGTCCAAAGGTGGACTGTCATCTGGGCTGGTCACAATGTTTATGACACCCTCAATAACCAGTGAGCACAAAGTCACTGTTTTATCACATGTGGCCTGATATTGCTATTGATTTTAGTGGATATGCATCATTTTTGTATGTGGATATGCTTTTTTATTTCTCCACAATGTTCATGTAGTTCATTTATAATGAGTAATATGCTACATCTTTTAATAATTAAAACAACCATATAATAATAGGTAATATTTATTAATTCTAAATTAAAATAAAAACATTAGAACTGTTTATCTGCACTCATGTTTAACTTTTTTTAACTTATTTGAATATGTAAATTGTATTGTTCTTGTCATTTATCTATTCATCCACCCATTTATTTGTCATTCATTCGTTCAAACATTTTATGTATTTAGTTAGTTAGTTGGTTAGGTAGTTATTTCACTCACTCATTCTATTTATTGTTTATTTATATTAATTTATTTATGTTTGTTCATTTAATCACTCATTTTATTTATTTATTTTATTCATTCATTTTTTCATTCTTTCATTTTATTCATGCTTTCATATAACCATTCAGTCCTTCATTCATTTATATAAACAGCCTATTTGTTTATTTATTTGTTTGTTTGTTCATTTTTTCACACCTTTTATTCGTTCATTTAGTCATTTTTTCATATGATCATTTATTCATTCATTCTTTAATTTACATAACACGCTTATGTGTTTATTTATTTGTTTGCTTGTTCATTTTTTCACTCCTTTTATTCATTAATTAATTAATTAATTAATTCATTCATTCATTCATTCATTCATTCTTTTATATAACCCGCTTATTAGAAAAAGTCGTCCGCTCAACTCGGCTCTTTCTTGCAAGAAAACCACATCTATGAAAAGTTTCAGTCTGGATTCAGGCCACATCATAGCACTGAAACTGCGCTAGTTAGAATCACAAATGATTTACTTTTAGCTTCGGACCAAGGCTGTATCTCAGTACTAGTTTTACTTGATCTTAGTGCTGCGTTCGATACTATAGATCACTCAATACTCTTAGATCGGCTACAAAATTACACTGGTGTTCAAGGACAAGCATTAAGCTGGTTCAGGTCATACTTATCTGACCGCTACCATTTCGTCTACTTAAATGGAGAAAAATCGATCATAACTTCGACAAACTATGGAGTGCCGCAGGGATCTGTGTTAGGCCCTTTATTATTCTCAATATATATGCTGCCACTTGGTAATATTCTAAGGAAACATGGAATTAGTTTGCATTGTTATGCCGATGACACTCAAATATATATTTCATCACGGCCAGATGAATACGCTAAATTATCCAAATTGACAGATTGTGTTAAAGATATAAAAGATTGGATGACGTGTAATTTTCTTTTATTAAATCCAGCCAAGACAGAGGTAATACTTATCGGTTCTAAAAACCGCCCACAAAACCTCTCACAATACAACTTTAACATATTAGGATGCCCTGTTACTTTATCCGCTACAGTAAATGACCTGGGTGTTACATTAGACTGCAACCTGTCTTTTGAAAAGCATATTTCATATGTTACAAAAACAGCCTTTTTCCACCTTAGAAACATTGCTAAGCTACGTAGTATGCTATCAGTCTCTGATGCAGAAAAGTTAGTTCATGCATTCATGACCTCGAGACTAAATTACTGTAATGCTTTATTAGCTGGTTGTCCTGCATCTTCAATAAACAAGCTACAGTTAGTCCAAAATGCAGCCGCTAGAGTTCTTACTAGATCAAGAAAATATGATCATATAACACCGATTCTATCATCACTTCATTGGTTACCTATAAAGTTCCGTATTAATTACAAGGTATTGCTTTTGACTTATAAAGCTCTAAATGGTTTAGCTCCAGTCTATTTAACGGATCTTCTATCGCCCTATAATCCATCGCGCTCTTTAAGATCACTAAATTCGAGGCTTCTGGTCATTCCTAGGATATCCAGATCCACCAAAGGAGGGAGAGCATTTTCACATTTAGCTCCGAAGCTCTGGAATAGCCTTCCTGATATTGTTCGTTGCTCAGACTCGCTTTCCCAGTTTAAAACTAGACTAAAGACGCATCTATTTAGCCAGGCATTCATATACATTTTTTATCTTACAGTTACTGTAAATTCGGCCTCTACTTCATAAACGCCAGAGGAGAACTGGCCCTGACTGAGCCTGGGTTCTCCCAAGGTTTTTTTTTTCTCCATTGGGTCATCTGATGGAGTTTTAGGACACCATCGGGTCACTTGATGGAGTTGTTCGGTTCCTTGCCACTGTTGCTTTTGGCTTGCTCAGTTGGGGATATTCAAATTAAATGACCCATCATACCACTGATCAGCTCTACCAAACTTGGATGTATTTTTCCAGTAATAAACAAACACTGTTAAGTTGTTTTGATTGATACTGTGAAGCAGCTTTGATACAATCTGTATTGTGAAAAGCGCTATATAAATATATTTGACTTGACTTGACTTGACTATTTGTTTATTTATTTGTTTGTTTGTTCATTTTTTCACTCCTTCAGTCGTTTCATTCATTCATTCGTTCGTTCATTCATTCACTTCTTGTATGTATTTATTTCTGTATTTGTTTGATTGTTTGTTCATTTGTTCACTCCTTTTAATTATTTAGTTCATTCATTCATTCTTTCAAATAACCCATTCATCTGCGTGTTTATTAATTATTTTTAAATAAAGAAGTTTGGCATTTCCATTTAACATGCCGAGCTCACATTGGATGAACTTCATTAGCATTCCTATGATAACAATAACGCAGCGGCGCACTAATGTAAGGTGACACTGCTAGCATGATAAACCTCTTTATCTGAGCCCAGGAACATTAACAGGTCCAGTGGAGCAGATCTGAACTAATGATACTCACAGTACAGGAAAAAAGGCCCACCTAAACCATTCAAGCATAAATAACACGAGACGCAACCAATCTGAGAGAGGCCTAACTTACAGACACACAATAGTTCGTCCACCTCCTCTTTCTCTTTCTCTCCCACGACCTCTCTCCATCGCCGACCTTCCGTCTCAGTCTCTCACTCAGTGAGAGAGAGATGTGTTACATCATTGACTGGCCAAAACGCTTCCTCAAAACTTTTCTCCAGCAGATTAGCCACCACCAGGTAAAAGATGTGCATGCGATTGGTTTTCTGATGATTAATGATGATCTGATCAGAGGTTTGTGTGTTTGTGTTGTGCAGGTGGAGTTGCTAGTCGATAATGAAGCAGAGAAGGACTATCTCTATGATGTTCTCCGCATGTATCATCAGTAAGTTTTGTTTTTTTTACCCATTTTTTGGATGCGTAATATTAAAGGACCCTGGGTGCTGACATAAGGGTTGCAGGTTCAATCCTAGTTATTACTGTTGCTCAGATTTAAGGTTAGGGATTTGAACAATCCATCTAGCAACCGCATAGCATTGACAACAGTGAATGTTGCACAGAAAACGTCAAATTAACATGTTTTTCTTTTACCGCAGTTTACAGATATTACATAATTCCTCAATAAAGTAAATGTAAATGACACACAAACATCTCTGCTGCAGCATTGTGTCCGGAAAGCTTTGGAAGCTGATAAATAATGTAATTTTCCATCAGAGGTGCTGGCAATCTGCACATTCAAAAGGACAAACGTATTCAGTGTCTGTTTATCTGTGTGCAATAATAGGAAATGCTGAATATATTCCCTTAGGTGTTTATTTGTGATCTAGTGTGTAAATCAACACGTCATTGCTCCGCTGGACAGAAATAAGAGGCTTAATCCGATGGAAAAGTAACTTGGATCAGATCATTTCCACTGTTCTCGCTGCTTTCAAGCGCAGCCATTCTCTGACGCCCCCTTTGTCTCTGATATCTGAGTCAGGAGTGAAATATCAATGATTCAGCTGCCTCTAAATTCATAAGCTGATTTTATGTGGGTATAAAGTGTCATTTTCCTCAACAAGCAACAAATCAGAATGTTTTTAATATAGGTTTCTATGCCAGGATATAAAAGGAAAACATACAATTTTACAAAGCTTTTTTAAAGATTTAAACGAATAATGTTTCAAAGGCAGATTAATAAATGCTATCATGATGTATAGATAGTTTAAATTTAATATATTAAACTCCATTTATATATTTTCTTTAATGATAGAGTAATGAGAATGAGGCTGCATTTTGCAATACAGTAATGGGAACTGGTGGTAAAAGAGTTTAATTGAAATGAAAATAATATTTAAATTGCATTTAATTCATGTAATTTAATTAAAAAAAAATTTTTTTTGGAGGGTGGGGGGGAAACATGTATGACAACAGTCATTATTTTTGCAATTTCTGATTAACTTTAAACCTAACCTTACTCCATGAACAAGTGCTTTATGTTTGACTTGATGCAAAAGATTGAATAATGATTCGAGTATCAATATATATATAATCCATATATTGAGCACTAACAAAATTAGCTTTCCTGTGTGCATGTTCTCAATCAGGTCCTGTTTAAATGACTCTGCTCTGCCCTTTAGATCCATGGACCTGCCTGTCCTGGTCGGTGACCTGAAACTGGTGATAAACGAGCCCAAACGCCTTCCTCTGTTCGATGCCATCCGACCCCTGATTCCTCTGAAGCACCAGGTGCGGTACGACCAGCTCACGCCCAAGAGATCCAGGTGAGAGAGGAAACCAGGAATATAGAGAATGATGACGGGTTAAAAAGAGGGCTGATAGGGTGCGACGCTTCTGTGCAGTGTGGACATCTTTCTCTGCATGAATAAAGACAGAGAGAATGAGTGCATTGGAAATCAGAGGAGGAGGTAGAGTGACAGCCACTGCTCTCGTCTCCAAAGAGAATCATTGTTTTCCCTCATGCTCGGTCAGACGTGGTTATGAGCACAGAGAGAAGAAGCTTATTCAGCCGTGTCTGATGCACAGCGCTAATACGACCACAATGAACGGGATTCTGTTTCCTCTTGCTGTGCCTCTCTCAGAGGAAAGAGAATAAAAGTATTATATTACATTATATCATATACTTAAAAACATGTATCTTTTTATTGTGGTATTGATTTAGGTATTTTGGGGGAAATAAAATCCTCATTTATATAATTTTAAAATCATTTTATTTATTTATTTACACCCCTAAACAACACACACACACACACACACACACACACACACACACACACATACTGTATGTGCAGGGCCTAAAATTAACACTCGCAATGCAAGTAAAAATCGGCTTTGCCGAGTAACATTTTTATAAAAAAAAAGAAAAGAAAAAAATACATTTTCTTAAGTCACCGGCCTTTGGCAGGTGTGTCAAAAAGTGTATGTGTGTATATTCATATATACACAAATACAAACTTTATTATTTTTATTATGTAAATAAATATTACAATATAATTATTAATATTAATAAAGGTGTTTACCCTCATATATTATTATTATTACTTAATATACAATATTTTATATATTATATTGGTTTAAGTCATTTTGGTATTTGGTATTGGTTTTAATTTGGGGGGATTTTTATAAATAAAGATTTATTTCTAAAAATTTTATTTTAAAATTTTCAGGCAATGCTTTAAGTCATTAAAATGTGTCTTGACAACGTTTTCCTTTATAATTACAATATTATTGTAATACATTTCACTAAATTTCACTTTTACTGATTTTAGATGCCACTATTTTGTCCACTTGTGTTATGAGCAGGAAGTTGAAGGAAGTCCGCCTGGACCGCACACACCCCGAGGGTCTGGGTTTGAGTGTTCGAGGGGGGCTGGAGTTCGGCTCTGGGCTCTTCATATCACAGATAGTCAAAGATGGACAAGCAGGAAATGTCGGCCTGCAAGTACGAAAATCCAGAAAATACTCGATGCCTGGCTATGTGGCTGCTTTTATAACTTTTATACAGCATACTTTTATATATATATATGAGCATGTTGAATATATTTGGGCCCTAAGCAGACACTCTCTTGCCTTATATTAAATATCTGACAACAAAAAATGTTAAACTTTCAAATAGATGTGTGTATTTTACATAGGCTGCACAAAAGACATGCCAAACATGATCAGTGCACCTTCTCTCCACTAGAGGGAGCAACCAGCCTTCTTAAAGTGCTCCTGTCCCAAACACAGTTATTGTCCTCTATAATCTCCATGACCAATGTTTGTCCTGTAGATAAATGGCAGACCATGTGTTTATAGTGCAAAGAACTACCTTTGTTATGACTTGAAATTAGTCATAATGACTTAGGGACTTGAAATATTAAACTATTCTGGTGTAATTAAAAGGATTATATTAACATTTTTAAAGTAATATTAATGTGGTTTGCTGTGTCGTCTTCAGGTCGGCGATGAGATTGTGCGCATCAATGGCTACTCCATCTCCTCCTGCATTCACGAGGAGGTTATTAACCTTATCAAGACCAAGAAGACTGTCTCTCTGAAAGTCCGCCGTAAGTTTCATTTCTATATACACATTTATGGCATCTTATTTTGCTGGGGTTAATACATTGATTTAGCTGTCAGTTACAGTGATTCGCTCACAGTTTAATTGTGATTGATGTAACAGTTGAGCAATTCATTAGGAAACAGTGTCTTCCTTCAGAAGAGTTCATTATTGGGATTGCCACTAGCTAAATATTATTTATTGACTATTTTTATCTATTTATTGACGTGTTTTTGATTATTCCCATTGTGACACTCTATTTACAGATGTGGGAATGATTCCTCTCAAGAGGTAATTTGGTGTGATCAATCACTTTAATTAGAGTAACTTTCATTTGTCTTTTAAAAAATAATAATAATATTGTTATAATATTATTGTCCTAATCAGCTCCACTGATGAGCCTCTGAAGTGGCAGTTTGTGGATCAGTTTGTGTCTGAGTCAGGGGTAAGATTTTCCTTCTCCATATTTTAACACTATAAAGCTGTATCATATTTGATACGCAAATGTCCAAAGCCTCTAAATCAAAAGTTTCCGGAAAACCTGTTATACATAATCTTATACATGCCTTTTGTCGTCTGATTAATTGTTTAGTTTTTTAGCAAGTAAAGGGCCTTTTAGTATCATTCTAAAAACGCCCCCCTTCAGTTCATGTTAAACGTGTCTTTTTGCTGTTAAATGCGACATTTTATAAAGTAAACATAAGCATAATGTTTATATTTTTAGTAATATTTCAAAATGAACACTTACTGGACTGAAGCAACTTTGGTTTATTTGATTACCCATACATCATTCTTGGTAAATTGTGATATCAAATATGATGCTTTTGAGTAACGTTTATTTGTTCGTCTCTCAATCATCATTGTTTTGCATTGTTATATGATTTGATATAAAACCACAGAAAAAAACTACACGGGTTTAAACATAAAACTAAATATCTTCTTGCTAAGACATATTATTGGGAGATATAGAGTGACAACTGTCTATAAATTGGCCTTATAAATATCAGAAAGAGCACCAAATCCCAGCATATTTTTGCTCAGATTAGTTTTTTCATCCTCAAGGAAAAGCTTCATATTCTCCTATATCATACTATATGGCTCATAAAAGCCTGATGTTTTTTCTGACTGTTCCCTACCAGGAGAGGAAGACCAGTATTGCTGGCTTGACTTCAATTGGAGGAAAAGAGATCAAGGAAAAAAAAGTATTCCTTAGTTTGGTGGGAACTAAAGGCATGGGAATCAGGTAAGGAAGAAACTGAACTGATTCTGCCAGTTGAATTACACTGAAAATAATTTACAAAAACTTTTAAGGTTTAATGATGCATATTGTCATAATGAACTTATTATAAATGTAATGCACCTTGTGACAAAGAAATTCTCTCTGTTGTAGCATATCGAGTGGACCAACACAGAAACCAGGCATCTACGTGAGCAATGTGAAGCCGGGTTCACTCTCTGCTGAAGTGGGCTTACAGGTCATTTCATTTCATTCCTAGATTAAACTGCATTAATTGAGCATTGCTGTTTGATTCAACTGCAGTAACACACGTGTGTGTGTTTGTGTGGCTTGTAGATTGGCGACCAGATTGTGGAGGTCAATGGGGTGGAATTCACCAACCTGAGTCATCAAGAGGTAAGTAGGAGCTTGCTGAAAAGTCAACCAATTAAAGGGTTAGTTCACCCAAAAATGAAAATGATGTCATTAATGACTCACCCTCATGTCGTTCCAAGCCCGTAAGACCTCCGTTCATCTTCGGAACACAGTTTAAGATATTTTAGATTTAGTCCGAGAGTTTTCTGTCCCCCCATTGAAAATGTATGTACGGTATACTGTCCTTGTCCAGAAAGGAAATAAAGACATCATCAAAGTAGTCCATGTGACATCAGTGGGTTAGTTAGAATGTTTTGAAGCATCGAAAATACATTTTGGTCCAAAAATAACAAAAACTACGACTTTATTCAGCATTGTATTGTCTTCCGGTTCTGTTGTGGATCCACGTTCAGTGACGCTGCTGACGTATTATCTGGTGTGTCCGTGTATTCGGGTTCAAATAAATATGGCTGGGCAAAAAAATGCAAGACTTCCTCTGTGTCGAAATCCTTAGACATGTTTGCGAAGATTGTGACTGTGAACGAAGCTCTTTCGCACCAGATAATACGTCAGCAGCGTCACTGAACGTGGATCCACAACAGAACCGGTAGACAATACAATGCTGAATAAAGTCGTAGTTTTTGTTATTTTTGGACCAAAATGTATTTTCGATGCTTCAAACCATTCTAACTAACCCACTGATGTCACATGGACTACTTTGATGATGTCTGTATTTCCTTTCTGGACAAGGACAGTATACCGTACATACATTTTCAATGGAGGGACAGAAAACTCTCGGACTAAATCTAAAATATCTTAAACTGTGTTCTGAAGATGAACGGAGGTCTTACGGGCTTGGAACGACATGAGGGTGAGTCATTAATGACATCATTTTCATTTTTGGGTGAACCATCCCTTTAATTAAGAACCTCTCTGCGTATTTAAACTGGTAACCATGTCGGCTAATGTGTGTGTTTTCAGGCAGTGCGAGTGTTAAAGAGCAGCAGGAGTCTAACTATTACTGTCCTCACTGGAGCTGTAAGTTCACTGAAAGCCCGCTAATACATCTCGAATACTCGCTGCAAGGCTTCTATCTCTCTCAGCTGTGTGGTAAAGAAAGCCATTTGCCTAGTATAAAGCTGTTGTAATTGACAGCGGTGGACAATGGTAATGCATTGTGGAGATGTTGTCTGTATTATGCTGATAACCAACATCAATGTTATTTATTGGTGCATTTGTCTTTTTTATTTAACTGGTATTTTAGTTGGTAAATGTTATGTGAATTATGCTTGACATATAGGCTTACTGTAACATATAACATCTTTTGCTTCAAGCATGCGACCTGTACACTATATAGTGGATTGTATTTGTGCGTGTATTTCTGCAAAAGTGCTGATTTGTCTACTGTATGTTTCAGGGAAGGGAGCTGTTTATGACGGATGAGGAGCGGCTGGCGGCTGAAGCTCGACGTGAGCTGGAAAGACAGGAGCTAATGCATCAGAAGAGGGTGGCATTAGAGACCAACAAAATCGTCAAAGAACAGCAGGAGAAAGAGCGCCAGTCAGTGAAAACACACACAATTGAACACTACACCACACTACCTATTCACACTGTATTCTTTTACATGCAAACGCCTGTAAAATAACATTTGGATGGCTCTACCAGGATATAACTCGAGATAACATCATTTTGTGACATAAGTTTACTTATATAGACCACATTCAGCATCATGCCACATACCCAGATTCTACCAGCATACGTGTCAAATAGCTACAGCAGAATTAAGATTTGGTCAAATTTTGATTCAAATCACAGACTGTCATGTGTAAACCTTTATATTAGCTCAAATTCTCATATAAAACAATTAGGATTCTAGACATTACAATGTACAAGAACATCGAAGAACCTATGAAACATTTGCGCAACAAAACCCAAATGTTAACGATACAGCAAAATTCTTAACTAAATGCAGTTAAATTCTACTTTTTAATACATTTATGCCGTTTTTCTTTAACTGTATCTTTATTATAAACATTTTAGGTACTGTTCTCTTGTGGTTAAAAGAAAAATAAATATTCACTTGTACTTAAATTTATTAAATGCCATAATAATCATTCTTTATCTGTTTTTTTTGTCTCTACATGTTGTCAGTAATGAATCTGATGAATCATTACCACTGCTGAAAAATTGTCTTTACTTTAAAGACATATAACTATATAAAATAGTTATTATCAATTTTATTGTTTTATATATGCAATATTTTGCAGGAGAAAGATGGAGATATCACAGAAGACTGCAGAGGAAGAACAACGCCATCGCAAAGAGATGGAGAGGTAACACTTGTACAATGATGCCAAGCCAAAAATATCTTCAAAGAAAACAGACCTCAGATGTCAGAGTAGAGCAAAATCGATGTTGATGAAAGCTATATTATGAGAGATGGAAGTACATTCTGTTCCGTATGTCCTAAGTGACTTCTAATTTTCACAACCAATGTTTTTTTGTCCAGTAAAATGTGTTCAAATTATATACATGATGAATACGACAAATAAAGAAATGTGACAAATAAAATGTAATGTTTACTGCAAAAGGGGTCAACTTCTTGACATTTGTGTTGATGTTCATAACAAATATAAATCAACTCAGAAATGATTTAGCAGGCTTGTCTGAATAGATGTCCATTTAATGTATGTGTCGTGTGTGTGTGTCAGAATTGAAGCATCGGAAAGTAAGCACCACAAAGAGTGGGAAGAAGATTGGGGCTCCAAGGAAAAATCCAAATCTCGTTCCCCCTCCCCTTCGCCCTCGCCCCAACCACCCACACGCCTCACACCTTCACCCAAACCCAAAACCTCCAGTAAGTTGACAACACTATATATGATAAAACTTCTCCAGTGCATGAACTTTGAATGCCCTCTGTAAAACTACACTATTTTCTTAATAATAAACAAGTATGTTACCGTGTCTAAAACGGTACACATAATGCACCATTACTCCTTCCTCCTCTGCATGAACGGATGTGCATTTATGTTGGATGCATCATCTCTCTTTGTGTGCTCTTTGTCTTTCTATCTATTTGCCTTTCTGTTGTGCCGTGTCTGTCATTTCCTGGTTCCATCAGCTGCTGAGTCCTATGAAGAAGAGAGCGAAGAAGTAAGTGAAGTATTCATATATAGCATCATAGACAACATTCTTTGACAAACTTCCCCTTTTTTAAGACACTTCAACCGCATGTAGACTATACTCGTCTTGTTTGGTTGGATCTTTTGGTAGCTTTTGGATGAATGAATCTGCAGAGTTTTTGCATGAAACTAATGTATCATTCTTGCTATCTTAGCGTTCGGTTGGTTTTACCGTTACGAAGGAAAGTTGCCTACACTCAAAAAGGTACATTGTGTGCTGCAAGCTTGTTGTGCTGTTTTGGTGTCCTAGAACTATGGAATATGTTGTTCATCTCGGAGATATGTCTGAAGTTATGGTTTGCATGATAGTTTGGTTGACATTGGTGAAAAGTCCACCAGGTGTTCTCAAATCACTTTGGATATTTAGAAAGGAAAAGAGACCAAAAAGAAGAAGAAGATGTCCAAGACTGACACTCTTCCAGCTGAGAAAAAGAACAAGAAAGAGATGGAGTTTGAGCTGAAACTTGCCAAGGAGAAGGAAGAAGTACTTGAGCGAGAGAAGCAGATGAAAATCAGCAGACTTCTGCAAGAGGTATCAGACTTGTTCTAGTGAGGTTACAGTAGGGTTTGCTGACTTAAATTGTTGTCCCAGTATAATGTGTGTAAATGATTCTGTCTTCTTGGCCTTTGGCCCTCTGGCTCTCATTGATTGGTCAAATGTACCCATTTGAACAGAGACTAAATTAAATTTAGCAGGTAACTGCACTATTGTACCCTTGCCAATGGCAGTCCACCACATTCTCATTAGTATATCAAAGTCTCCATCTTTGGGTGTGGCTTTACTAATTCAACTAGGTGTCAGAAACTGAGAGGGAAGATCTGGAAGAGTCGGAAAAGGTGCAGCATTGGGTGGAAAGGCTCTGTCAAACCAGACTAGAGCAAATCTCCTCAGTTGAAAATGAGTCCCCAGAGGTAAAGTCTATCAAGTTTCACACAAGTATCATAATATGTGTTGGTCTTCTAGTCCATAGTTTGTCAGTTCAGAGTTCTAAGCAATTAAAGTGTACCTCTAGATGTCTCCAACCCGTTCTCCTGCATCGACTGGTCCCACCAGGCGGAGGTTTCCTGGAGGCTTGACATTGGCCACTACTGACCTTGATGACATAAACTTAGATGATGTGGACCAAAGTCTAAGGCAGCCTTTGAAAAGACTAGCCCCAACTCCACCAACATCCAACCAAGCTCCACCTCCCTTACCACGCCCTCCACCCTCACCCCGACTTTACCAGACATCCAACTATCGCCCTCCATCTCCAAGAACACAGCACCAAATGCAACCAAGTTCCAGACCATCCCCTCAACGCCCACCTTCCCCACCAGCCACTTGGGTACCCTCTTCCTCAATGGGTCAAAGCCGGCAACCCCCTTCTTCCCCACTATTCTCTTCCAGGGGTCTGTCCTCATCTCAGCCACCTCCCCCTCCCCCACCACCTCCTCCTCCACCACCACCGCCTCCTCCTCCGCCACCCCCTCCACCCATGCACATGGAGGACAAGTACCATGCAGGGACATCCAACTATCCTCACTCCCCAAGCTTATCCGAACAAGGGAGCAGGTTTGGGGACAATGGTTACCGGCAGAGAGGGGGCTTCTACTCCAGCATCCCCAGTGATCTCTCACGCCCACCCAGCCCGAAGTTCGACCGCAACTTGACGGTTAGCATAGTTAACATTTTTAGCAGTGTGAGAGTTGATTATGTATGTCATATAGGAGTGGGAATTTTTAGTCGCATTGCAATTCATTCCAATTTGATTCCAAATTGATTCCATGATACATAGTATTGCTATCTTCACTGAAGTGGCGCCAATGTTGCATCTGCAACACTGAGCGAAAACCCATTGAGAAGTAAATCCAATTCAATGAAACATGTGACAGCAGTGGTAATTCTGTTGGCTTTTCCAATCGTTTTGGAAATTAAGATACTTGTTTTTTTGTGTGTGTGTGTGTGTGTGGAACTGGCAGCAAGCTGAACATGGTTATAGGTCACCCCAAACAATTTAGACTTAAACTTAAATTTAAACTTAGAATCAAAATTCATTGTTTTTTTTTTGTTTTTTTACCCACCAATTATGTCATACATACATGCATGCCTTGAGTTTGTTGTTTTGCAGATGTGAATACCCGTTTTTAATTTATTATTGAAGATGTTTGTTAGGATACATATCATAATTTGTGGTGATAAGGCATGTTGTTTGGTTTGACGACTTTGCAGTACCTGTGATTTCTATTTTTGTTGGACTGTTAAAAACCTTATCCTTGTGGTCCAGGTGATGAGAAACACATCTCATGCTAGCAGGATATCCACCTCTAATAATCCACTGGTGAGTCCTTAGTTTGTAAATGATACATGCTGCACTGGGCCTTCCGCTCCATTTTTAGCACATATAAGACTTGCCACCCTTGTCTAACAAATGTAATGCAAGCTAAATGCAAACCAGCTTCTCTTTTTCAGCGGGAAAAGTTTAACAACAGTTCTCTGTCCTTAGATGTTTCAATAGATTACTCTGTTTTCCTGCTCTTAATATTTCAACACCATTTCGAAACGAATATAGTTGCCACATTTTTTTAAACCGTAACTCTTTGCACTGTATTATAAATATGCACACCTCTTTTTTATTTGTAAAGTAACAAAATTTAAAAAGCCATTTCCCAAAAACATAATTATTACTAAAAAGATAAAGTCTTTGTATGTCCTTAATGAAACGTTCCTACAATATTAATGTTGTGTGCTTAACTCTTGAAGGTATATCACGCCCTGACCTTAAGTTTGTGTCCCTTACTGCTAACCTCTGCATAGCAAATAGCCCCCAGCCCCCCAAACCAGCGGAGACAGATGAACCCTGTCATGTCCAAACCTGTCATGCTACCAAGTCAGACCTCACACAGACCCACGCTCCGCTCTGAGACTATGGTAAGACAGGGAGAACCCGTGTGTGTACGTGCGATGATGATGAGGAGGAGGATGATGGTGCTGGTGATGCAGGCCTAAGCTACTGGATCTTTATGACTTTGACTCATTGGTTTGATTGTTGCACCAATTGCTATTTGACTCTGATTATAATTTGAGCTTTCAAACTCGAGGAGGACCAGGTAGATGCAGCTTTTACTGATTGCACTGATTAGGAAGGCAGAAAGAGAAGGACAGAAGGGGAGAGGTTAAAAGAGAGATGCTTCTTCCATTTGCGTGCACAATGAGATAGATTATCTGAATTAAAATGTTTTTGATTGATCAATATGACAAACCTAGACATGCTGTCCTCCATCAGACCCTCAGTCCTGTTTTATCAGATCACAAAGGAACTTAATCTCTTTGCCCTGTTCTTGTGCCTCTTTAATTTAAGTGAATGGGTGCTTGCCAATTCTGTGGTTATTTTAGGAGGGTAGCAAGAAGGTCAAGAGAGGACAATACCTTGCTGTCTTGAGGTAGTATTCAGTCTTAGTCTTTCTTTATTATTGTTAAAGGTGTTTGCTATAATGCATACGCCTAATTTTCTATCTTGTTCCCTCGTGTCTAAAGAATCAGGTGCCATTTCTCTCAAATGATCCAGTACCTTGTAGCATCACCATCCCTGCATCCATCCTTATATAATGGATTATCAGTTCAGTCACGCAGTCAGTGTCGTTGTAAATCTCACAGATGCCTGAATTCATACTAGTTAATAGGTCTATTTGCCATGCTGAGGTGAACATTATATGGCACGTAATGAGATGGTGCAAGCATTTAATGTGTTATTTTGAGGTGTTTTTAAGAGTCAGTCACAATTATGTTTGTTTCAGCCCCCAGAGATGCTCAAACGGATGGTCACGTACAACATGTCCTTTAAATCCAGCAAAAAACCACAAGTAACTGTCATCATTACTTTGCGTTACACCCCCCCCCCCCCCCAACCCCCCCCCCCCCCCCCCCTCTCTCTCTCTCTCTCTCTCTCTCTCTCTCTCTCTCTCTCTCTCTCTCTCTCTCTCTCTCTCAAAACACACTGGCCCTTGAGTGAAGTCTCTGCTGTCTGTGTGTAGACATCTCTGCATGTGAAGTATATACTACATTTCTAACAATATTTCCCTGGGGATATTGGCACAATGTATCCATCTGAACTGATTTAAAACTTTTTGTTTCCTTGACAATAATTAAAGGGGTCATATCATAAGGGATACCTGCTGTAAAAACAAAAAAATTGTGTGTGATTGAACCAAAAGTGCTGTTGTTTATTTATATATGGGTGTCTACATAGAAGTCTTAAAGGCACAGCAGCAAAACCATTTTTTAGTCTGTTTTGGAGGATTAAATGATATGAAAATACATTATATGACCCCTTTAAGGTCTGATTTTTGGTTTGTTTGTGGAAGTGTAGATTTGATGCTGTCTACTGCATTTCTTGAGTTTAAACATGCATGTTATGAATATCTCTTAAAATACTCAAGGACATCAGAAGTATGATTGCAATATTACACTTTTTTCAGTTAAGACATTACATTTTCACCTTTCCATGACACTGAACTGCTGGATTAACTCAAATATCTCAGAATTCTGCTACAGTCACACCCATATATTTCCATGCAATCATACCTCCATCTTGTTTGCTGTGAAAGCAGCCTCTGAGTGGATCTCATTTGCACTGCACGAATGGTAGAACCAAACTGAAGTTTATATAATATTAGAGTGAATATGCAACGAATGGCATCTATGTGTGTGTTTTCATAGATGCCATTTTTTTTTATGAGGAAGAGCATCACCAGAGGTCTGTTTGTTTCCATTTTGTTGGTTCAGTTTTAAGTGTGTTGTGGTTGTCAGAGACCCTTTTTATTGTAACTATCTTTGCAGATGATTGTCTATTGACACTATCCAACTAGAAAGCTACCAATGGATCCAACAAAACAAATTCATCCTTTCTCAGTATTAAAATGTGCATGCAGTATGGTACTGTAGTATATTATGCAGTGTGTTATACTGTTTAATGTATTATGTTATATCATGTTTGATTTATTGGCTTTTTATATTGTTTAGGTTTGTATTTAAAAAGAAAGTTAGTCAAATCAAACCTGTTCATGCATTAACTTTATGCATTAACAAATATGAACACAATAAGCAAAGTAAGCAACAGATTTTTGTTTAAATGTGCACAAATTTTGTTCGCAATGCTGGCTGATATGATAATTGTCTTGGAATTTATACTGACACCTATAGGTGTGGATGTGGCATTGCACATAAGCAAGTATTTTCGGTTACCAATTTCATCATATAAATACACATTCATCCATGATTAAATTCACTCTGATAGCGAAAATGGCCTGCAAAATGGAGGTTACAAAAATAAAGTGAGTAGCATTAAGCTGGTCATGTGATCTCAAAATAGCGGCCACTATGAAGCAACCATGTAGAATTAAACAGATTTTTAGACTAATGATATGTTTATCTCATATGATTGTACACTATTTTAAATATATTCAAAATATGCTATTAGCTTTTGTGTTTAAATGACTTTAAATGAAGAAATACAGAGTTCACTTTTTAAGATCAGATGCTTTTTATAGATTGATTTAGTGGTCATGGCAAACTACTAAGCCACTGATCTGGAAGACTAAACACAACCTCCCATTGATTGGATTAGAGGTGACAATTATCCAGATATATAGTGTTCATTTGTCTTTTCTTGGAAATCAATGAGCACTAATTTGTTTTTAGCTTACATTATGTCCTTAGAACGAACCACACATTTTTACAGATTATACTATACTGTCAGTTTTTCCCATTTGTTTTGCAGGGATTTCAGAAATACGTGGATGATTTTGATCCATATTCCATGGTACTGTAACCCATTACATTAACAGTTCTATCTGTACCCTTTTGCCATTTTTATATCTTATAACACAGATATGCCACACTCCCTGAGCGTTTCTCTATGGAATATTACTTTTACCATCTTAGCTCTAACTGTGTATGTTTTAACAGTTCACGGCTGAGCAGCTATCTGGCAGAGATGTGCGACTTTTGAGAATTAAGAAGGTAATTAAGGGGGAAAAAAACAGAAATGTGAGCAATATCTGTAAAATGTAAACTAAGAATTGGGAGATTGTTTTTATTCTATTCACATTCTTCAGGAAGGAAAGCTTGATCTGGCCATAGAGGGAGGAATTGACTCCCCATTGGGAAAGATTGTGGTGTCATCTATCTACGACGGAGGTGCAGCAGATAAACATGGTAAGTCATACAAAAAGAACGTGTTTCCAAGATTTAGAGATTTTGGGGTTTGTTCTTTTGACTTCAGGCTTTAACAAACACCCTAGCAACTGCACTCTGAAAACTAATGATGATCATGCAAAAGTCTAGTTTATTTCTCAGTCATTTGTGATATTGATTATATTGACTTAATAAAACATTTAGTTTTGTTTCAAAATTACCTGCTTAGTGTTTTCAATATATTACTGTTAATTCTCTATGGTTTTGCTCATGTTATCTCAGGTGGGGTCGTGTCCGGTGATGAGATCATGGCTGTGAATGGGAAGATCCTCACTGATGTGACTCTAGCTGAAGGACAGACCTCAATGGCTCAGGCCTGGAACAGTGGAGGGGTACGGCACTCATTACAATAAAACAGCCAATCCCTTAAGATCAGTTCATCTGTCTGAAGAGATTGTCCTGGGGTTAAGAAGACAATGCAGCTCAATTGGAGCCAAATGGTTTGCATTCACGCATATTTAGGGCTTTCACACTTGTAGTTCAGTTGTCCTGTTTTTTTTTGGTCTGGAACAAAAAAGGAAATAATTAATTTAGTCCTGGTTTGCTTAGCTTTCACACTGTTATTTTTAAACCTAACTCACCGGAAATCCAAAACAATGCTGTGTGCTGGGCTAAACATGCTCACTGTGTGCGTACATATGATGGTATTTTTACCAGCTGAAAACTCATGAATAGCTTATAAATTGTGATGAGTCGATATTTCAGTCAAACCTCACCGGAATTTATTTGGAAGTGGACCGAGACCCCATGAAAATGTGGGTCTTGGTCCTCTTGTTTGATATGCACCAGGGTTCGGATGTTCAGAATTATTCAAATGAACCGCACTAACAGAGCAACCACACCAGAGTTCATTTTAATCAAACCAAGTGTGAACACACCCTTAAATACAACTTTTTCAATAACACCTCTAAGTTAAATTCACTCAGAATTTGACCACCCGTCCTTCATCAAATTCAACACATTTCCCACCCTCTTGCGTTTTTGAATATTTTTACAAATTCGATATTGCTTTCCATATTGCATCGGTCTCAAATGTAATTTTATTCTAGTCCTTGTGCAGTTTCCTTGTTCTTGAAGATTTTACAGATGAATCAACACACTCTTGTAGCAATTCGTAACTATTTAACATTTTGGCGTGTTTACATTGGTAAGGTGATACAATTCAAATGAATTCGTAAAATCTGATTCACGTTTTCATACGATCTGGGTTTGGTTTACGGGTGGACCTTCATGCTTAGTTTATTTTTCTAAAAAATCTTACATTTGCATATGACTTAAAATGTAATAGATAAAATTGTTTAGTGAGATTGGTTTGAATGAATATAGTGATTTATGCATTTTACTGTCATCAACAAAACTGGATCTTATAATTAGCACTACCCTAGAAATAAATAATTTCAGAGTACAATGATGTGAATAGCACAATGTGGAATCTCAAAGGTTTCATTGCACAGTGGGCTATATGCACGCATAACTTCCGCGTTTGACGCAAGGATGCTCGTGCGTTTCCGGTTGGGGAGATTTAAAGCGGAGGAAAACCGAGGAAAACGGGATTATGGCAGAGTCTTCAAAATGTACTGTCCTCTCGTCTTTGAAACGAAACTTTAATACGTTTAGATGTCATTTTATATATAGTTATGTTTATTTAATATAATAAACACAGAAGCATAGACAAAATGAGGAGTGTCTGTTTTGTCTGTTTTTGTGACTAACGTTTCTTTAGTATAGCAATAGAGTATAAAAACCAATATAAATTCTCGGTATAGCATTGGACTCTACGATCGGCGGAAGTAATCCAGCATCCTTAGACCTTCACCGGAAATACCGCCGTGCATAGAGCCCATTATAGTAATTACGGTAATTTTGACATCACATAATGCTGCATTTAAACCAATTCTGCAGAATTACATAGATTTCCCTCAACATTTGTTATAGAAATAGTAAGGTTGTAGCTATGAATTATTTTTTAGATATTACTAGTAGGTTAAAACAACAACCTATGCTATTGTAAAAGTTTTTTTTTTTATTTACTTATTTTTTCTGGGAGACACAAATCACAAGAAAGTGCACATGGTCTGTTGCTGTAATGATTTTTTTCAGCAAACATCATTTAATATAGATGAAGGGTTGGAGCAGAAGTAAAGCAGAATGTATCAATAAAATTGATGCTTGAATGTGCTTGTCAAACATCAAGACAGTGGGGATTTAAGTAGGCTAATGTTATTCAGTTAACTCATTTCATTAATGCAAATGAAACGTGTAGGAGGAAAAAAAATCTCTTTTATTGTGTATAAAATGTCTTTTATTGTGTGCTAGAATTTATATGACTTCCATACTTTTGTTCATGTGAATGTGCTTGGCATTTTTCTGTGTATTTGTGTGCAGGACTGGATTGACCTGGTCATTGCGGTATCTCCTCCGAAGGAATATGAAGATGAAGTGTACGTATAGTTGCATTCTTCCTCATAATACAATGACAGCTCCAGTGCCCTCTAAATTAATTTCACTCAATTATAGTATTATGCTTTATGTGGTCTATTTCAATTGTGCCCAATGAAAAAAGCAATCAGTTTGGTAAATGGCTCTCAGTGGTGAAGCTGTCATCTGCTGTATGTCTTCAGCCCTAAAGCAGCATCAGTCAGACCCACTGCAAAGAAAAAGGTTTTCCAAGGCAGTGCTCCTGTGTACAGACAGGGCTACGTCCTTCAGATGAGGACCCCCCCATCCCCCAACCTGATCGGCCAATAGCCCAGTGGTAACCCCCCCACCCCCATCAAATCCACCCATACCATTCTGCAGTGTGCATCATGTACATGTGACAATCTCTTTTCTTTGTCAATTAGGAAACTAAACCAGATGTTTTCATTTGGGGATTGGTTGTGATAATTATTCATTAATGCAATATACAATAGTTGTGAACTGTTGTTCACAAGGCTGTGCAGTCGTTCTGATTGATGTTGTTCAAAGGGACTGTTACATGTCATGACTCATGCATTGATTATTGCAACTTTGATCTGTCCTTTTGCTACTGCATGTTACTATAAATGTCTACAGCACTACTGCATGTGGAATTATGAAAAGATACTGCCATTGGTTCACTAGGAGCAAACTAGGGAGTCAAGAATGTATGGATGTGTATAATATTTGTACTTGAAGGCTGTAAACCGTTCAAAGATAAAAATGACGTATAGAAGTCTGAGTGGCGAGCAAACCAAGTCTTTATTTTATCACAAATAAAGAAACAAAAGAAAGAAAATCACTTGAGTCGGGCACACTGCCTCGCACATCAAAACAAACACTCCAAAATATCCCCTGCCTCCCACTTTTAGAGAGGAAGTTGGCTACAGCCATCTGTGCCACCGGCCTGTGGACCACACGTTGGTATCCTTCATGCGGTAGAACCACTGGAGGGGCGCGACCCGGGAACGGGGACAGGATGAGAGTGAGAAGGAAGAGAGGGAGAGGGGTTTGAGAGAGAGAGGTTAATGAGGGGCTTCCCGACCCCGGGGCATGTAACCAGATGATCTTCAGCCAGTTGGATGGCCTGGTTCAGCGATGCTGGGCTGTTGCACTGGACCCACTCGGCCCTTCCTCGTGGCAGCCGAGCAACATCAAAAACACTTCAAAATAGTCTGTGCTGGATAAGTCTCTCTCTCCCCGTCCCAGGTGCATGCTTAGATCCGTCTCTCCGCCAAACACTAGAATTGTTAGTCATCATTCAATTGACTTCCTTATCACCGCTCTTCTCCGCATTTGTTCCCCCGCTGCAGAATTCGCTTTACCACGCCCGCCTTGCCACAAAGGCATTTATATTTGCACTACCAGTAATGGTCCGCTGGTTGCAGCAGATAGCAATTGTGTCTTTTGACTTTTTTCCACCATGTCTTTTTGCACATTCTGTGAATCAATGCAGTGACATTCTTTGTAATTTTTATATGTCAGTTTCATATATAGCATATATAGTCTTTGCTGTAAAATTCCTTTTCCTTGCTAAGAGTGCAACCTTTTTTCTTCACCCCTTGTGTGGATGTGAGATATAAAACGTTACATTAGGTAGGTAACCCCAGTTCCCTCAAAAGGGGAACGAGACACTGAGTCATGGAGTTGACGCTATGGTAATAAAAAATACCCACCATGCCATACTCCCCAAATGCCTGCTCACTGTGTTGTGAAATCACCAGTGAGTTAAGCTGTCACTAAAGATTGCTATACAGCACACCTAATAACCAAGAACTATCAGCCTAAATCAATGTCCGCAGCTCAATACCACCCCAATTACCTGATCTATATGACCCAGGGGTAGAACTGACTAGGAAGATTGCAGGCTCACTGCGTCTGCCACCAATAAGGCAGGGCAGACTAGAGGACTGCCACCTAGACCCTCGGCCATTAGTCCCAGAGGGAGCAAGTATTATGCATTGCGTCCTAAGGACCAAGAAAGGCCTCAGGAGAGAACACTGTTCTCTGAACTGCCTGCTCTACCAAGGAACATGGCTAACCAAAATTGGGTCTCCTAGGGAACTAGTCGACATACAACCGTCTAACTATTACTTCCACTGTGAATCAGAGGGGCTAACTGAGAGAGTGGAGCGCCACAGCACTCTCATACCACTCCCTACCAAGTAGCTCATATCTGCTGATGGATGTCCATCACAACAGTTCCAGCGAATGATAAAGAGCGGATCGCTAACTGCGATAAAGTCCACTTTTATGCTCTGTTTCGATACTCCTCGCAAACCTTTAGGAAAGAGTGTTAACATAGTCCCTCACTGTGTCCACACTATCACCTCCATGTATAGACTTGAGGGGTGACAAATGAAGGAGTGAGACTCCTCAATCCTCAAAAGCTCAATCCCCTTGCTGTACTGCCCATCCATATAAAGAAATGTTCTTATGCAGCCTCCAACTAGGAGGTGGCTCAAACTGCCCCTTCCCTTTGCCAAGTGCCATAATGTTATTTCCAATATGAATATGATTCAACGAGAAGCATTTTTAATGCTTCTCCAAGCTCCATGCCATAGAAGGTTACAGAAAAGTAAGTGGGACACTGAAGCTGTATTGCCCACTATTCCTGTCCCGTCTAACCTACTGACATGTGATCACAGAGGGTTTAAATAGCTAACACCTCACACTTCCGGCACCAGTGGGGGAATGGCGGCCAGTGATGTATTGGATGCAAGTTATGTTATTGCCCATCATCCACACTCATCACAGCCTATGATGTAGAAGAAATATATAGCAACCATCTCTAAATTCAGAGCGCTGGGATTAATAGACAGAGAGAGAGAGACGTGGGGCGCAAGCAGCATGATTGCCCATTTTTCCTCCTCCTGTCCATAAGACATAAAGGAAACTGAAACTGCCTCTATATGCAGTTCACTGGAGGATGCCAGATGAAAGAGTGGAACGTGATAGCATGAAAGCACAATCTCTTCCTCTAGATCCGTTACTTGTGCCACCAGGGAGGCACATCAATATCGACTTCATACTCCTTGTACTAGCCAGGGAACCGATGAAAAAGTGATGTGAAGCAAGCCCCATTCATTTCACAACCATATTACCCTTCATGCACTACGAAGGGTGGCTGGTTGAAGAATGGGACACAGCTGCGTTAGAGCCAAATTCTATACCGGCAACACCCCATGCACCAGAGAATAGCGGTGTGCACAGACCTCCGCTGGGGCAGGGGCGATGAAATTGTGTTCTGGGGGGGAGGGGGCACCGCAATATTAGCGATTGAAGGGCCAGGGGCCAAAGCCAAACTGAGAGGATGCCTGCATACAGGTTGTGGAAAGTTGCACAAGCACTGTAGTACAGGAAGGACTGAACCGCAGCACAAACATCCCTCAAAGACGCACCTCTTGCTAATGCCTTAGAAGCAGCAACACTTTGAGTAGAATGGGCCCTGACTCCTAGAGGCGAAGCCACCCCGCATGCCTCAGGCCAGACTGACCATATTTAAAACCCAGAGATATCGTCTATTTGGAAGCAGCTAAACCTCAGTTGCGCCCTCCAAAGCAGACAAGTTGATCAGATTAATGCCACTAGCTTGACTGGACATAACTTTTTACGCCTCTCTTTCTCCTGAGTTTTAAATGGTGAGAGAAGAGAAGGGCTGAATAGCAACACAATGAGACGGTAAAAAGGGCACCTTAGGGATGTATTACGGCCTGGGGTGCAAAATCACCTTGACCAGTCCAGAAGCAAAGTCCAGGCAGGAGGAGGTGACTGACAAAGCCTGCAGGTCTCTTATCCTCTTCAGAGAGGTGATAGCAATAAGAAAGGCCAACTTAAGAGTAAAAAGCTTCACAGAGGCTGACTCCAGGCATTCGAAGGGAGCATTAGACAACCCTTTCAAGTACCACAGAAAGATCCCATGACGGAACCCGTTGTCTGCAGATTGGCCTCAGCCATCTGGCACCACGCAGGAAATGGGACACCAAGACATGTTTACCCACTGAAACCCCCTTGATCTGGTTGTGGCAAGCCTTAAGAGTTGTTGGGGTCAGTCCAGCTGACAGACGCTCCTGAAGGACCTCCAGTACTGAACCGACTGGGCAGTAAACTGGGTTAAGATGGTCTCGCCGACACCATGATAATAATAAACACCATTTAAGAGCATACAGCTTTCTGGTAGAAGGAGCCCTATCATTGAGAATGGCATTGCTAACTTCAGTAGAGAGACCATAATCAATGAGCTGGTACCCCTCAGGGGCCAGACCCACAATTTCCAAATCTCCATCGGGGTGAAAGATTGTCCCCCGAGCCTGGGACAGAAGGTCCCTTCTGGTCGGAATCTCCCAAGGTGAGCCTTCCAGGAGAGACACAAGGTCCGCAAACAGGACTCGGGCCAGCCAGGACGGGGCTACCAATACTAAGTGGAGCCCCTCCTGACGGGCCCTTGCCAGGATTCCCTGGAGCAGAATGATCGGAAAAAAAGGCATACGGACGCAGCCTTAGCCACGTCTGTACCATGGCATCCAGTCCCAGAGGAGCTGGAGGATGGAGAGAAATGGCAATAGGCAATGACTCCAACGTTGTTGGGTTATGAACACACAAGGAATATGGGGCTTTTCATAACTTAGAGATTTCAGAATGAAGATCGGTAAAGAAGGAAATGTTACGTTTGATTAGCTGGGACGGACTGCCGCTCATCTAGCTTACTACAAGGCACTTCCCTTTTTTTGTCTGGCCACTTGAGATTTAATTTAGCCACCACACAAGTGACGACCTCTAGCAGCTCCTTATATGATCTAGAGGACAATAAAGACTGCCCGCCAGTTGCACTCTACACATAACCACCCTCAATGTCCAACTCCTCAAAGCTGGACCCCCAAGAGAGCGGGTCCTCGTCTGGAGAGGAAGAAATCGCAGAGTGAGCTTCCATATCCAGAACGGGACCCGCGGAGTCCGTCGATAGAGCGAGAGAAAGGGCGGTGCCTGTCTCAGGCTCGTCTAAGAGCTCCATCTGAGAACCCCATGAGAAAAGTCGACTCGATGCCTCGGCAGCCGCGGGACCCCACCAATGAGGTGTAGAAATAAAATTCCCCAGATCATCAAAGAGGGCGAGGCAGGAGCTGTGCTTTCTCATAATAAAATGCTCACAGTGCACATAATCAGCTCACCCAAGAGTTCATTGAGCGTGCTCCGTTCCCAAACAAAGAGCATGCTCCGTGTCCATCGTCCCCAAGAATGTAACGGGGGCACAGCGAAACACATCTCCTAAACTTTGACATCGTTTTTTTTTTTTTAACTCCTGTTCTAAAGAAAGACAGACAAACGTTTTTGCACACACAGTGACTGACAAGCGGCTTCTGAAGACAAGAAGCTGGTGACGCTCTTGCGCAGGTGTTATTTATAGAATTGATTGCCTCTCCTTACTTTGTCCTAGGGCATTGTTTTGGCCTGTACTACACATGACTTACTCTGAAGGCGTTCCCATTGCGTCAACACCATGACACAGCGCCAATGTTCTCTCGAAAGGGAACCCTCTTTTAAATATCAGACTAATCTTATTTTTATATTTTCTGTCACTCTTATTACAGGACGTTCTTTTAAGACGGACCACAGGAGGAATTGATCGAGAGCCATTCCTTAGTAATTTTGCAGCAAGCACGTAATTTAGTATATATGTTGTAAGTGAAGCAAATACAATTATTAACATGATTTTTTAAATCAAACATCTGTTTTATAAATTCATAATTTACTGTTTGGGCATTATTTTGTTGTTGAATGCAAAACAATAAATATGCATTAGAAAAAAGGTATTTTTGTGTAATGTTTGTATGACTTCTGATCATTCGCAAATTAAAGTGCCCCCATTATGCTAATATAAAGTCTTCTAATTGTGTTTTGGAGGTCTCCTACAACAGGTTTATATGCATCAAAGGTCAAAAAACGGTTTCATTTTCTCATAATATACATTGCTTGCATATAACCACATTTTTCAATGATTCTCAACTAGGGGTGTAACGATACACATATTCGTATTGAACCGTTCCGTACGAGGCTTTCGGTTCGGTCTTCGGTACGCATTTTTGAACCGAACGGTTCGTTGGACCATTTTTCCTGCCGACCAAAATTTCGTTATTTCAAATGTAGGCGCGTCACGCGTGGCAAGCGCGCTCATAATGTAAGAGACGCTGGCGTGACCACAACATTGCCCAACATCAAATGGCAAATGTAATGTAAGCGGAACGAAACCACTCGTTATTGTGTGGTTAACGGACCGTTTATCAGTTTGGACCAATGCAGCGCGAGCCGATCTTAATCATCAGCACTGTTACTACACAGCGAAATCCAGTAAAGAAAGCATTTGAATTCGCCACTGAAGTAATAACATCGCTGCAAGATCTAGTGAGAAATATGCGCATTTCTCCGTTATTAACGGATCAAACAGCGCTGACGTGGAAACCAGGAAGAAACATTGTGCCATGAATGAACTATCCAGTGTCCACAGATCAGCAACATTCACCATGGAATACAATTGCTGCCCTCAAATGTTAATCTGAGCTAAAATAAACCTTTGTTTATAACTACTACAATATTACATTTCATTTTGTCCAAGGAGCTGTTTTGTTTTATAAGCTCCTAAGAAAATTCAAGTATAGCTCCATCATTGCTCAAAGTTAAAAAATATCATACTTTATGATGTTAGTTTTAATAAAAAATAATTAAAAAAATTAAATCAAGGAAATTTCTCTGGCATTTCTTTCTTTTTGCTGTATCGGAAACGTACCGAACCGAACCGTGACACAAGTGTATCGTATCGAAACGAACCGTGAATTTTGTGAACCGTTACACCCCTACTGATTCTGATGAATCAGTCTCTCTAAATCCCTCCTTTCCATGAGCTTCTCTGCTCTGATTGGCAAGATGGCCCAGTCTGTTGTGATTGGTCTACCGCTTACATCGTGTGTTGAAAACAAAAACCCCCATTACCATAACTGAATTTCAGCTCCATCTGGAGGCTTCCTAAAGCTCAGCGATTGTACACACTGTAAACTAAAGACAGTAACGAACAATGACGTCGATTTTACCATATCAATCTGAGCGTGAGACTGATGATGAAACATTGGAATAACTAGGTATTCAACCCAAACCTCCATTCATTGCAAGGACAACTTGAGCATGACATTTCTCAGTGATGCGCTACTCAGTTTGAGGTACATTATGAGATGTAACAACTGTAATTCCTCACCATCACCCAGGGTTTCCGTTGTCCGGTAATTACCGGACATTGGCCGGGAAAAAAAATGAAATGTCCGACAAAATTAAATCTCTCCGGTCAAATTGTCCGATTAAAATTGCGTAATAATCCCGCCCCCCTAACACAATATTAGTTTGAGAATAAGCCTAAAATGTATAAAGCAAAAATACACCGACCTTTGGCTATGTTATAAAGGAACAGGCTCTACCGTTTTAAAGTTATTAAACAACATCGCATGCTGCATTTCAAATAAAGCGCACGCCTAGAACGGCTGTAATATAGACCTAAACAACGAACGATTGAGTGAGACGTTTCAAATATGGCCAGGCCCAGGCAGGCTAGCCTTAAAGGAACACTCCACCATTTATTTATTTTAAATTGGGGTTATTCACGGTCTCCCCTACATTTAGATAGGTGGGCAAATGCATGTTTGGAAGCACAGGCGAAGCACTGCTGGGTGCAGAGATATCACGCAACACCTGAAATAAAGCTTGCCACAAAAAAAACGGCGAAAGTAATGATTATGCATGAAACATTTGAATTATTGATAAAGTTGATAAATTGATAAAGTTGACGATGCAGACTCGCCATCTTCGCAGTAGTGAACGCGCCTATAGAGAGAAGTGTGCACGCGCCGGCGCCTCCGTGTCCTGATTATATTGTCCACTATATTTGCTTCTTATTTATTAATCCAGGCAAATATGTTGATGAAACTGATTAAAATTAAGATACAATTTATACAAAACGAAATTTTCAAGTCTGCGAGTCTGCATCGTCAACTTTATCAATTTATCAACAATTCAAATGTTTCATTGCCTAGAAATCTAGACGCACCCTAGCGGCAGCAAAAATTATTTTGCAGCAAAGTGTGGTCTAGCAACTCTCCGTTGGCTTTTCGAGCTGGAAAAACCAAACTCTGGTCAGGCCAATCACATCGTGTATAGAGTTGGTGGGCGGGCTTAACAATGACGGCAGAGATGTGACGGTTCCGCGTGATTTCCATAGGTGATTTCCCTGCTAACGTTACTTGAAAACAAAGAAGATGCTGCTGGCGAACAGCGGTCTTTCGAATCGGATTTGGCCGCGACTCTGGAGGACTTGGAGTTAAGAGAACGTAACTTAAGTCATTCTTAAAAAAGGAAGATGTGTTCGGAGTTTTGACGATCGGATACGGCAAAAGTTTAATATATCAACTAGCTCCACTGGTGGAAAAACGCATGGGACTCACACAGCCACAGCCGTTCGTTGCTCTGGTTGGTTGTAGCGCTGTCCTATTGCGTGACGAGGGATATTGAAAGACAACCGTTTATCCCGCCCCTCGGATTGAGGAATGCCAATTGTGAGTTCCCAGACCTAACATCTTGATGTAGGTCTGGTTTGCCAGGTTAAATTTTAATGCATAATCATTACTTTCGCCGGTTCTTTGTGGCAAGCTTTATTTCAGGTGTTGCGTGATATCTCTGCGCCCAAGTAGCAGTGCTTCGCCTGTGTAGAGTCTCCGCAACGGCGATAGATTGAAACGCGCGTCCGAGTGAAGATTGTGCAACTCGCGCAGCGCGTCGTCCATGCAACTGATAGCAGCGGACACGATCGAGCGCTCAGCTTGATTTCAAAAACAACTGATTTTAGCGCTAGATCTCTTATTTAATAGCAAACTAAATGAATGATCTGCTAGTTAACTGGAGATGTTTTATTTATTTGTATTAGGTACATCCGTGCCTCAATGTTTCAAAAAGTGAATGTGTGTGAAACCATAGTAAAAAACAATTGGTGTTGATTGACGCCAATCGGACGTTCATGTTTTTTTCCGTCTATTTGAAAGTTAGGCTAATAATAACATGTTGCATTCTATACGGCCTGATTATGTCATTTTTTAAGTTACTCAACCTGCCTCCAGTTTTCCTCAACTTGACTAATTAAGAGGCGATATTTGACCGGCATATCATCAAAATGTCCGTTAAACGAAACCTCTGCCGGTCACTTTGACCGGCACCATTTTTTTCTAGCGGAAACTCTGATTTGTCTCTACTTAGAAACACTACTTGTGATGACCTTGAATCCAAGACCTTGAAACCATCATGTGACTTTCTACATTTACCACCTGTATTATGTACATATTGTGGCAAATGATTTGTAAGTCTCGCACATTCACAGAAAATATAGCTTACTTCAGCGTTGCAAATAATGTGGATATACAATGGGGACACTGGTTATTTGTTTCTGGTTTCCCTTGTTCTTGTTTCCTCTCATTACTTTGCCTAGGTGTGTCCATGGGCGTTCGCAAGGTTTTAGGAGATCTGAGGTCCAAAAACTGAGCTTGCTAGTGTGTCTGAAAAAAATAGCTTTCCCTGATCTACATAAGTGCATTTTAAGATAGAGGGCAAATTTGGATAACTTAAGAACCATGTCATTGGGCAGTATCATAAATGATCTGCCAAGCAATAAGACATGATATAAATTTCACATGTATTTATACACTCATGTTCTCTTGTTCATGGCTCTGGTGTTGTCCGTGTTATGCTGTCTTAGTTTCTCATGCTTTAGTTTATTGATTTCTTATTATATTTGAATTATGTGCATTTGGCTGAACAACCCCTGCATGACAGTATCCAGTTGAAAATAAAATAAGGTTTATAGTTTTTAAGTCCAAAGCAATTCAATCACAGAGGGAACAGAGAAATGGCATGAGAGAACATACATGACACATGAGCTCACTTAAAAAGGTTTTATTAAAACAGGATCATGAATAACTAAATGTGTTATTCAAAGCAGTAAGCCTGAATCATTCTAGGCTTATACTCTGTTTATACTGTAAAGACTTCTTAAGTTTGTACATTACTGAGTAATGGCAGCTGGTGCTTCGGGATTGAAGGGATCAGGATTTATTTTGTTCAGATCCTCTATGACAGTTTCATACTCTTTTTTCCATTGCTCTGGTGTCAGTGCAGATGGGCTGGTCTCCAGGAACTTATACGCATCTTTAGTCTGCAAGCTAAAGATGCTTTTTGCATGTAGACAGGATTCACCGAAGGCCTTCCAATGCTGGAAGATTTGAGGTACAAAATCAATCACAGGAAAAAGAATGCAATCAAGGTGAAATAATATAATTTCTGCAACTGAATATTTTCTCAATGTCTAAGTTACCCCTTTTGCTGAATTAATAGATTCCAGAAAGATCTCCTTCATTTCAGGCTCTTCGATGAAGTGTTCATTAGCAAAAGTCTCGTCTTTGAGAGCCTCCAGCATTACACTCACTGATTCCCAGAACTTCTGAAGCTGAATCAGAATGTTTTGGATTCGGGAAAGGCATTTTTGGACGTCATTCAGATGGACAGGGTCGGGTATTGAACCTTTAAAAATAATATGAATAAGACATTAATTATGAGAGATAACTCTGAGGCTTCTGGTGTAAGTCAGGGACTGTTTTGAGCACAATTGGAAACTTCTAAAGTGAAAGAATCTTACCATTTTCTATTTTCATGCTTGCCAACTTCAGCTGCATATCCGTCATCCTGACATGGATGCTCCACTCTTTTCCCATCAGACTTGACTTCTCAA